GAAAGGTTATTTTAAAAGTATCCTCAAGGAAAACAAAAACTGGTTCTAGTTGATCAGAGGTTTGAGATATCGAGAATAAAATAATAGTAAATATATGACAGAGTTCATCGGTAAATCAGTTTTGGCTCGAGTCGACCAACACTAGGTTTGAGTTATAGGGCCCCTTCTAACTTGGAGACATTACTTACTTGGAAATTCCGTCTCAGGGAACTCCTTTGGGTAACGATTGATAAACGATCGTATCGGGACTTTGTTTCTCATCTTTTCTATCGACAAGTTTAGTTCCTTAGCCATCGACAGTCCTTCAAGCATCATTTCTTTCGCCTTATCCGTGTTTCCCATCTCGTCATGTAAGATGGCCCATGTGGTCTTGATTGAAACTTTCCATTCGTGTTTCTCCTCTAATTCTCTCTCGGCAAGTTGTTCCGCCTTTTTGAATAGATTCATTGCCTCATCAAAGCTGCGTCTTTTCTGGTTACATATTGCACAGTTTTTCAAAGTCAGGATACTCCCCCCAAGTCACATCAGCATAATCAAGGATTGGCAGCACCATGGCTTTTACAAAGAGTTCCCTTGTATTTCTTGGCATAAGATGTTTTATTCTCTGTAATACGCCAAGCCTCTGAGACACTTTTGTCTTTATTTATTGACAAAGCAAAGGCAGAGGGCAAAAACTTTTTTATTTAGGGGAAAATAAATCTATTTATTGTAGCATGCGAGGGCAAGTCCTACGTCACAGTTTAATCGGAATCTCGATTTTTAGCTCGAGGTGCACTCGCAAATCTCCAGTTGAAGTTTTTTTGTTATTCGAAGTCTAAACACTTCTTTGAGTTTTGATAAACACTCAAAAAGCCGTCTGCGGAGAACCAAAAAGATGTTAGAGGTGACTCATAATATGACATCATTTCACTCTGGTTAATAATAATAATAATAATAATAATAATTTATTTCTTATATAGCGCTACTTACAATAACAGATCAATAGCGCTTTACAACTGATATCTCTAAATATTAAAATCTCATCTAATTAAAAAATAAATAGATAAATAAATAATAATTACATAAATAATAATTAGGTGCGGATATACATGTTGTCTGGAAGATAATGATCTTAAGGATTCCTAGAAGTCAGACAAGCAATTTCCACGAAACGTTGTATATTTAGAAAACAATGGTACAAGATTATTCACGATATCGCCTTTCCAAAGAAGTCATACGTGCATGATTTCAGGTCACGCTTTAGGCACAGCATTGGGTGTACCCTTTTTTATTTCATGCATGGTTATCTATAAAATAAACAAAAATCACCCAAGGCTCGCAATAGAAACTAGTCACAACAAATAGAAGCATAAAGAGTCTCATTTCAGTCTTCCAAACTTTCCCACAAACAAGTTCGGACTTGTTTGTTTATGATAAATAACGAAAACAAAACCTGTATCACGTTATGTTATGATGTTGTTGGTTTTGCTTGAGTGTTATCGTACTATCGTTGGAAACCTGTATTTCATTAGTTCCTCATTTTTAATCAGTCCCTGAGAGTTCACCTTAACAGCTTGCACAAGCCTATCACACCTTTACACGTCTTGAACTATGCCTAGTAACAAGAACGAAATGTATTCTTTGATAGAGTGTTTAGTCACTCATTCACTAATCATTGTTGTCAGTGATTTTTTTGCATTATTTCCAGGCGAAGAGGACGTACCAATACTGTTAAAATAATCAACGCAGGGATACAATAAAAATTCACTCATTAAAAACAACTCCTCAGAAACAATTAAGCAACCTGGTCAGTTTGACAGTAAGCTTGCCTGTGAAAGTGACAACACAGTTACAATTACGTCAATCTTCGGCACACTTCTATTTCAATGCAATCAAAAAATTTCTATAACGAGTAACTGATTACGCTCAAGGCAACTTCCCTTTTAGACTAAGTGTACCTCATCTACAAGAACAATTCAAAAATCGATTCGTTTGCTTATCAGAGCGTTACATTTTCTAAAAGCACCCTTAAAACTACCCCTCCATCTTTGAGATAGAGTATGGCCGGCTGAGTTACAATGTGAAAAATAATTCTGAATGAACACATTACAAATCTTGATTAGTTGATTTTGAATAATAAAACTCTCTTTTGAAAGTAAGTGTTCGAGACATTCCTTTAATTATCAGAGTTCTGAATGGTCAATACTTGATCAGATCCACTTTGCTGTTCTTTTCATGTGCTTCTAATCCTTACTAAATTATTCCAAAATCCTACAAAAAATGTACCCTACTTAAAGTGCATACGACACGAAATTTTTTTTCTCCTGTTCCTTGTATTTGGATATCTATAGGAAATGTTTTGAAGCTTTAAAAGTGCTGGAAAATTCTAAAAAGCATTTTTTTTTTTGCTTTCAAAATACGAAAACTTTGCCTTCAAATTTGTCCCGGAGACTGGGACCTAGTTGATCGCCGTCGAAGTTATTCGTGACGTCACATTGTGTACCTTTGCCACTAAGGTCTGTTGTCGCTAAGAGGATTCTGCAGTATTTCGTAGTAGATAGATAGTGCATCGAAAGGCACAGATGTCCAGTGATTCTAATGATTCCTTTGAGTCTGACTCTTCTGAAAGTTCCATTGACTTCGAAGGATCTGGGTACACAATGTGACGTCACATAAGATTTTGGCCGCGCGATGACCGGGACAAATTTGAAGGCGAATTGCGCGTATTTTGAAAGCAAAAAAAAGAAAAATACTTTTTAGATGTTTCCAGCACTTTTAAGGCTTCGAAACGTTTTCTATAGATATCCAACAACAAGAAACAAGAGAAAAAAATTTCGTTAAGTTAAGGACCTTAGCCTTTCGTAAAATCGCTATTGTGAATCCTCACTGCAATTCTTCTTTTTCCCTCTTATCTCCTTTTTTCCTTTCTTCTTTTCTCCTCCTGAAAGTTGAAAACAGGGAATTACAACAGTGTTCTAAGACTCGGCTGCTTCAAATCAGTTTTATGTGCTCAATAGTAATATTGATCTGTTTTTTGGTTTTTCCTTTTTTGAGTTATCAAGGGAAAGGTTATTTCAAAAGTATCCTCAAGGAAAACAAAAACTGGTTCTAGTTGATCAGAGGTTTGAGATATCGAGAATAAAATAATGTAAATATATGACAGAGTTCATCGGCAAATAAGTTTTGGCTCGAGTCGACCAACACTAGGTTTGAGTTATAGGGCGCCTTCTAACTTGGAGACATTACTTACTCGGAAATTCCGTCTCAGGGAACTCCTTTGGGTAACGATTGATAAACGATCGTATCGGGTCTTTGTTTCTCATCTTTTCTATCGACAACTTTAGTTTCTTGGCCATCGACAGTCCTTCAAGCATCATTTCTTTCGCCTTATCCGTGTTTCCCATCTCGTCATGTAAGATGGCCCATGTGGTCTTGATTGAAACTTTCCATTCGTGTTTCTCCTCTAATTCTCTCTCGGCAAGTTGTTCCGCCTTTTTGAATAGATTCATTGCCTCATCAAAGCTGCGTCTTTTCTGGTTACATATTGCACAGTTTTTCAAAGTCAGGATACTCTCTTTGCTTCCACCCTCGACGAGATCGTCGAACATTTCTATGGCTGCCTTATAGTAATCAATGCAGATTGTTAAGTTGTCTTCTCCCTCTGCTTTCCCATCCAGGAAAAAAAAAAGGTCTGCAAGGGCCTTCAGGGCTTCGGCTGTCATAAAATGTTCACCAAGGCACCGTTTAAAGAGTTCTAATGCCTTAGTTAACTGTCGTGTGGCTGTATCAAACTGCTTACGGCGCTTTGCATTGGTTCCCGAAAGAAGAAGTGTTGCTGCTGTTTCTGGATGAAGATAACACAGACTTGTAACACTGACATCTAGAGCTGATTGGGTCTCTTTCTCGATTCTTTTGTTTTCTTTAGGATCTTTTTTATCGGAAAGGTAACGTGCGTAACTGTTATGAAAGTAGACTTCTGATAGCGGATTTTCCCTAAACTTGGCAGCATTCAAACGATAAATTTCTTCCGCTGTCTCCATACGTTCGCTGTACTTCTTTTGGTCTTTCTTCCTACATTTTCCAAACTTTCCCACAAACAGGTTCGGACTTGTTTGTCTATGATGAAAACAAAACCTGTATCATGTTATGTTATGACGTTGTTGGTTTTGCTTGAGTGTTATCGGATTATCGTTGGAAACCTGTATTTCATTAGTTCCTCATTTTTAATCAGTCCCTAAGAGTTCACATTAACAGCTTGCACGAGCCTATTACACCTTTACACATCTTGAACTAAACCTAGTAACAAAAACGAAATGAAATGTATTCCTTG